GTGTAATGAACATTTGTATATATGTTTGACTTGTTTTGATATATTATTTTATAACAAGTGGATTGTGTGCTAATTGTTTATTGTTGATATTTATTGCCGACAAGTCACAGACACCTACTGTAAAGAATTCTGCCCATCCACACATACTTAAAAACAGAGAAGAGACATAAACATCTGGCAAATAGGCCTATTACACAAAACTGTAGTGGTGGCAAAAATATTGTAGAGGTTACAACCACACTATATAACCGTGTCAACTGACTTTTATAAGTGGATAGAAAGAGGGGAGTGACTTGGACTTAAAAATAGCAATCTATGAAAGTTTGTTAAACAGCAACAAGACCCAGAGAGAGAGAAGAACATCAACAGAGAAGAGAGGAAGAAAGACTGAATGAAGAAAAGACTTGAAATTGAGAGAATAAGAGCACAAATTAGAAAAGGAGGAGAGGAGATGCTGGAAATAGAGAAAATAAGAGCATAAATTGAGATTGATAAGTTCATCCAACAGCAAGACAAAGGACCCAAGAAGGATGATAAGTGAAAGCCAGCCAGTCCAAGCTGTCTTAAATTGATGAACAGAAAGACAACATGGATGCTTTTCTTGAGAGGTATAAAAGATTTGCCCAAAGTCAGAACTGGGACAAAGGTAACTGGTCAGTCTGTCTCAACTTTCTTCTCACAGGAAAAGGTCTACAAGTGTATGCTGGCATGACATTGGAAGAAGACATGGGCTATGACAAGTTAAAAGTGCCCTTACTGAAATTCTATGAACTTACCAAAGAAGGTTTTTGTCAGAAGTTCAGAGAAGTCAAACCTGATACTGAAGAAACTGTATTTCAGTTTATGGCATGTTTACAATTATACTTCATATGGTGGACTTGCATGGCCAAATGTGAAGATAGTTTTGAAGGACTGGCAGATCTACTAATACATGAACAGTTCATGATCACGTGTTCCACTGACATGTCACTGTTCTTAAAGGAAAGATCACCAAAAGACATGGACAAGATGATCAAGCTGGCTTCTACATGGAATTCCATGGAGGAATTATAACTGCAAAATTCAAGAAAAATCAGTCAAAGTTGAAACCAGAGGTGGCTAAACAGAAGCAGGATGCTACTAAAAGTGAGAAGAAGTCTACAGGCAAAAAGGAGAAAAGGTGCTATATTTGATATAAAATGAGGCACATTGTGAGTGAGTGCAAGTCTGTTACCATAAAGCAGCTGGATCTACCTACAAAGATGATGCAAGAAAGAAACAAGTGAGGAGTGATTATCACCATGGATGCTGCTAGCAAAAGAAACAGAATAGAGACAACTTGTCAGATTCATCACGAGAAAGAAATGCTATCACCATGATTAAACAGTACAAGATTGATGGTCAGCTCAAATTAGCAAATGGGTCAATAGTGCCTTTAGTGATAGAATATGTGACAAACATTTAAGTTCCAACAAACCACAACATGTCAGTTGGTGAAGGCTACATCGGGGTCAAGAAAGTGAAAGTCCTGTGAGACACTGAGTGCAGTAGTGAAAACCATTCTACTATTTGATGACTAAATAACAAGCAACTTACATCTTTTTATGTTGATCGATTGGACAGTGAGAAAATTTCCCATAGCAAGAATAAAGGTGGACACTCCATACTATGTGGGAGACCTTAAGGCCATGCTTATGAAGGCACCCATCTAGTCCTTGGTGATTGGCAATGTACCAAACAATAGAGGTTTTGAGGAACCAGATCGAAAGGAGACTGATGGGGCATATTCAATCATTCCAAGATCTCATGAAAAGAAAATCAAGCAAGACATCAAGCTCCTACAAGTCTTGAAAGGTGACCCCAAATGTAGGTCTGCTGGAACTGAAGGAAGCACAGAAGAAAGACCCTTCACTGCAGAAACTTTGGGACAGTGTCTGGAAAAAAGTTGAGCACAAGATAAAGGGGAAAGGGACTTACAGATTAGAGGACTGGAATGCTGTTACAGATCTATCAAGGCAGTTATATTGGGGAAGTTAAACAGATCTCAAGTTAATGTGAAGTTGGCTCATGATTCAATTGTGAGAGGACATCTAGGAGCAATGAAGATGAATTACCAGCAACTTCTATTGGCCGGGGTTTGCTGGAAATGTGACCAGGTTCTGTAGGTCATGTAACGTCTACTAAAGGACAATACCTAGAGGGAATGTAGCCAAGGTACCACTGGATGAGATATACCTCTTATAGAAGAGCTGTTCAGGTGAGTAGTTGTGGATTTGCTTGTAACATTAACAAGTGCAACTGGTACATGCTGGCAGTAGTCAACTATGTGACACATTACCCAGAAGCCATAGCATTGCTGGAGATGGAGAGTGTATCAGAAGCCCTCCTCAAAGTGTTATGTAGAGTATGCTTTCCAAAAGAAGTCTTGAGTGACAGGGGGACCCAGTTTACCTCACAACTGATGCAACAACCATGCAGCTCTTTACCACCCGATACAACCCCAGATGTAATGGACTTTGTGAGAGAGTCAACAGAGTCTTATAGAGTATGCTGAAGAATATGTGCCAGGAGAAACCATGTAACTGGGATGAGTACCTGTAGGCAGTATTATTTGCTAACTGAGAAGTTCCACAAACGAGTACAATATTTTCATCCATTGAGTTATTGTATGGAAAAACAGTATGAGGTCCGATGGATATACTGAAAGAATGGTGGACAGGAGAAGAAGAGTCAGAAGTGAGGAACGCATACCAGTATGTGTTGGCCTCAGAAACTGACTGGAAGAGAAATTATAACAAAATGATTACATGTAAAAATATGTGGTATGTTTAGATCATTATCAAAGGAAAATTTGAGTATAGTGTCCCCCTAATAGCATGAGCCCATTACATCTATGCTTTGAACAAGGCTCTTCCAAAAGTTGGACAAGACAGAAAAATTTAACAAAAGAACAAGCTTGGCATGATTTCATTTCTCACTATGAAATCTTACTTATTATATGCACCATAGACTTTAATAGGAGAAATAGTTGAATTATACAGATTAACTAAATGTCATTTCTGTTTTTTGCAAAAAAAAAAAGCATTTAAAGGAAAAGTATATAAAAAAGTAAATACTGACTTAATCATATGGAACCTAAAGCCAGTTTCTTAGAGTATTTTATATATCAAAATTTAAGTTTGATGGCAGCTTTCATTTTTGTTTATTTAAACACAAATTATCCACAGATTTGTTATGTTCCATTGCAAAGCAGAGAGGTTCATATTTGTTTGCTCCTGTCCATCTATCTAGATCTTGTGGGCATGATATCTCAAAATTCAATGGATGGATTTTAACCAAATTTATGTAATAGGGTCTATATACAAAGTTATACACCTGATTAACTTTTGAAAATTATGGGTCAAACATCAAGTTCAAAGTGTGACATAGATGCTTCAGAAACCCATTTTATTCTTGTTAGCTTTTATTTTGCAGAAATGATTGAAAATTCAGTCCTCATTGTGTATTTAGTTATACACACATGTTTACAATTTCTCAGCTTTCCAGTAATAACAGATATACTCTTTAAGATATTTATTAATTTCCTTGATCTAAATGTATTATAGTCATTTTGAAGGTCTTGTCATAAGCCAGAAAACTATTTTGGAAACTTCAGTGTGTGAGATGATTAATGCTAAGTTGCCAGTTGTCATTCATCGTGTATAAGATTTTCAGTAAGACAGCATAATGTTAGTTAGATATCAACCTTCACTGAATGCATTGACATGAATTTTTATGAGCTGAAAATTGGTGGATAATTTTAGTCTACTAAATAACTGAATGTTTTACTGTGTGTAATTAGCAGTTTCATATATATGTAATCTTTAATGTATGAAATAAAAATATTGAAGAAAACTTTATTAATGTTTTTGATTAATATTCTATCATCAGCTAACTAAATTTTCATACTGTACACATGCTACTTTTTACCTTATATTTCATGTGTCAAGCGTACTAACCCTAGTATGAATTCTATGGTAAATATAATTGGTACTGTATTAAGAGCTAGGGGCTTGTTTACTGGCTTTATCTGCCTCTTCTCACAGTCAGAAGAAAATTTTTTAGTTTTCATGCATTTCATTACAAAGCAAATTTTTCCCGGCTATGGCACTTAGTGCCTGCATAAATATTAATAAAATGATATTATTATACTTTAAATAATGTTTAAAGTATGAAAACTAAAAGTAATGTGATATGTTTTTAATAGGTAAGTAATTCTAAGGAAACTGCAGAAAGTTAGCTTTGAAAAAGCAGTGTCTATGGATTTGTTTTCTATTTTCATATAAAAGCAACAAACTAAAAACAGGTGTACTGTTTTAATAGAGGCAAACATGTTTATTCACAGTTGAAACCATCATCTCTATTTCCATTAATAATTTTAAAATTCTAATCTCAGAATCAGCAAATCTTGAGTTTTAAACTGGATGTATTATTCAAAGAAACATTTTGCTTTCAAGTGAACAATCAAATGTAAATAGTAATATGATTTCTTTACAGCTATCTTAATTCTAAATGAAGTGTTTATTTATCATGTGGTTAATTTTGTTTTACTAAAAACCTTAAAAAAAATAGTATCATTCAGCATTTTATTTTTTATTTATGTAAATTTTTATGTGCACTATATAGAGTTGTGATAATTATTGTGTATACCTAACATTTAATTTTTTAATGTGTATTATCTTAAAAACTCAATTAAAATGAATACTATATTAATCCATGATAGAAATTACCATAACACAACATTGAATTCATTTGGTTACTTATATATATTATCATCAATTCATACATTTGAATAATATGGTCATTTTTAATTGCAATTCTTACTTTGTTAAATCAGTAGCCATGATATTCTGTGATGGCAGCAGATTTTAAATTGTAAGTAGTATCTTTGCTTTAGAAAAAGATTCTCAACTCTATAGTTAATAGAAGTCTTAGATATATCAGTATAATATATGGTTATTCTACAATATACTGCATTTCAGGAGATTGTCAGGATATCTTCTGGTTGGCTCATTGCCTGTTTCTCACTGAACAGTACCATAGAGCTGCGTATTGTATCAAAAGTCAAAATCTTCATAAGGTCAGTATATATATATCTCATTCTATAGTAATTACATAGAAAATGTAAACAGTAACAGTGCCTAGCAATCTTCAGTAACTAGTATCTGTTGTAAAATATATGAAATGACAATTTTTGTGTTGATTATAAAAATAATTTCAAAGGGAAATCAACAAAAATAGCAGTGTTCATTGCTCATCTCAGAATTATGGGCCTAAAACCAAAATTTGCTTTTGAGAATGTTTGTTCTTAAGAAGACCTTACTTTTAGACTAATTTGTTCTCACTTTGTTTCCTGTTTAACATGGTTGTTCAGATAAGTTTGTTCCTCTTTCAGTAACTGTTTACTATTAGGATATTGTTCCGTCTCTGTTCGTTTGTTAATTTCCGGTATGAATTCTTTCCGAGGAACTTCAGCGATGCGAGTCCTTTCTTAAATAAAACTAATTTATTCTTTCTTGATACAACTTTGTAATATGCAGAATTTCCACAGTCACTTTAACTTAACTACTTTTATAAACACATGCTATAATTCACAGTGATTCACACACTTTACTTACGGTGCCTACTGTTCACTTGACTCAATTATCTATGCAATTCTATCTTTTTCGTTAGCTTTATTTTCAGGGCTTAGATACTAAAAAAAGAGGGTGCCTGGAACAAACTAGATTTGCCAGGAAAATTCATGATCCTTTGAGAAACTCCAGCGCACATGCTCCCAGCGTTGCGTGACTTCCGCTGTCATAACAATATCTTCTATATAATGAATATATGCTAATTATTTTAACTTTTTTTTTTTTTTTTACTTTTTCCTCTTTCTAATTGTAACACAGACTATAGCTCATTGTCAGATGTAGATCTAAGAGATAGATTAGCCTGTGTAATACTTTCAGTTGTGGTCAAACTGTCCCAAATATACTGCTGCTTAGAAGTTAGTAAACTGGGTTTGAGTTTTGTTAAGTTCTGAAAATGTTAATTGTATTTCTATTTTTATTACTAAGTTAACTTAGATGTTTTTCCATGACTTTAAAAAAAAGCAGCACTGAGAAGTGTTGAGATGATTTTATCTACATTTCTTCAGGCAATGCTCCTATGTGTCCTGGGAACCTGGAAAGTCCTTGAAAAGGTTAAAATGTAATCAAGAAAGACTTCTGAAAAACTCAAATGTCCTCTTTGAAATATTAGTAAATAAAATATTTGATTTTGTTCCAATATTTTAGATCCTGTCTCTCACAATGTAATCTGTTTATTTAACAGAGTGTTAAGTTTAATTCCGAAATGGTACTACCTCCTCTTCCCCATAGCTATCTTGATCTTCATTTGCCCTCTAGGCATTAGTAAACTTTTTGAAAGTGCACCAGTCTTTTCTTCCCCTATATTTTTTGTGTCATTGCAACAACATGTGCTGATCATGTGACCACCCTCCACCAACCGCATTGCACCCTCCACAATCCTTACTTTCTTGATTGGCATTCTTGTATATAGACATATGTTTTAAGTTCTCCATGTGATTACACAATTTTTTATTGTTCTTGATCACCAACTAATATCAGTTTCAAGTTCAAGTTTCTACTCGTTTGCTTTTGGGATGTTTCTGTTTCCCAATTCTACTTTCTTGATATGAATGCGGGTTTATTATGGCAGTTGATAATTTTCCCACCATAAGGTGACAGTGGTTATAACACTAGGCCTCAATCTCAGGTTTCATGATGTCTGCTAAGGAAGCACGGTCTTTTGTTTGTGAGGAATCTGTGTCTTAAGTTTGGTTGGCAATTTTTTTCCTTTTAAGGTAGGTATTGTTCTTTTTCCCAGGATATCTGTGGTAAGTTTTTCAGTGTGTATTTCTCACTCCCCATAGGTATACCTATGTTCAGTGACTTTATGTAAGCTCTTGCATATGGATCAAATTTCTGCACTCTAATTACATCATTCAGTGTCTTCTCTGGTCAGTCTTATGTAAGTTTGAATTTTATACTTCTTTTACCATCTAGGTTACTTTAGTTTACAACTCAAGTTTAGAGTTTGTTTCTTGCAATAATTTGGTTTAATATTTTAATTTTTTTTTTTCACTGTTGATGTTATTTAGTTACAAGTTCCTTTTTTTTTGTATCTTTACTACTAATAATATCTAATTGGGGATAAGTTTTGAGTCAACCTCCGGCCCATACTGCAGCAACACACCTTATCCTTTTCTCTGTCCTGTCCACTCCTCAGTCATCTACTATCTGACTTTTTTTCATCCAGACATCTCCACACTCCTTCTTTCAGAGTGACTTTTATCCAGTCACATGTCTTGGCTCAGAGGCTTGTCCCTATATGCCTGCCCTCCATTCAGAGTCCTCCTCTTCTAGGTCTTTTCTCTTATCTAGACCCCTCCTTCATGTGCTTTGTTGGTTGTTCCAGATTGGCTGGCTTCGACATAGTTCTCTCTACTCTTCCCCTTTCTCTGTCCACTGTGATTGGTCATTTTCATCCTGACATCGCCATACTCTATTTTTCTGTGTTTTTTGTCCAGTCCCATGCCTCAGCTCAAGGACTTACCCCTCATGTCGCATCTTTCATTGCCTACACCTTTCGCCCTACCTCTTTGTCTATGCACCCGAAGCATAATTCTTGCTTCAATCTTTGGTCTTTTTCCTAGGGTTTTCATCCCTCTTGTACTTCTGTTCCTCACCTGTCCTATCTCTTCATCTGGTTGTTTGTTCAGGGTTTGTCTGTCAACCCTTGCTCTTTATAAAGCTGCCTTATTGAACTCCCTCCTTTCTCCATATTCCAAAAAGTTTCTCTTCCCTGGGTTGTTACATTTCTTTCATCTGGTCCAATCGACATGTTTCCTTTGTTCTGCTGGATTGGGATCTCCATGTGGTTCTTCCCATCCTGTCCAGTTCTCCTGTTAAACCTATTGCAATTTGTTCCTAGGTTTCGTCACAAGTGGGTTTTGAACAATAATACAATCTCATAGCCATATGTACTCACTCATTGAAATAGTAGTTATGCTGCATACTATACACACAATATGGCACGAAATCTATTATGCAAGGCACTGCCACTGGATATTTTCTGTCTGGATGGACCACATTTGACATAATCCCATGTGTACCAAGGGGCTTCCTCTGGATGTTTTTGCCTGAGTCTACCTCACTTGGCTATCTTGATATGAACCCAAGATGCTTCCCCTGGATGTTTTTGTCTGGGCAGATCGCACTTGTTGATCTTACAGACTTGTGCAAGATGCTTCCATGTTGTTTTTGTCCTTGGACTCCACTTGGCCTAATATCTTATATCTGAAGGCACTTCCCCTGGATGTTTTCTGCTCCGGCAGACTGCATTTGGCCAATTCATATATGGTCCTCTAACCCTAGCTATGTATTCTATTCATTTCTGCCCGACGTGTCTTCTCTTCTTTACTGGATGAAGAGCATACCTCTCCCAAAAGTAGTGCTATACCCCACAAGTGTTCCTTGTATTTTTATTGTGGCACACCTGCTTTTTTCATAGCAGTCACTCTCCACTTGATTATTTGTTTTTGCTCCTACACCAGCCCCTCCACCTTTCGAATGTGAGATTCTAGCTATGGGAGAAAAGCAGTTTACCATGTTAGAAAGTTAACACTTTCTAACACTGAAAATGTATTTCCATTAGGTACTTACCTCCGCTTCCCACCCATCCTCTCCACTGATTTACTGGTGTTTTGGGGTTTGTATATGCAATTTCTCAAAAATTGGGATTGTGCTGCAAGGGTAGAGGGCACAATGGATTGGAGGTGGGTGTTCACATGATCAGCATATCATTGCAATGATGCAAAAAAATATAGGGGTATTATAGACTTGTGCAGTTTACCAATGCCTAGAGGGCAAATGAAGGTTGAGATAGCTATGAGTTAGAAAAGGTTTGTATCTATTGGAAATAAATTTTCAGTGTTAGAAAATGTTAACTTTTGTAAGACAATTGTAGTTGTTCTCATAATCTTGGATATATATATATTTAGCTGTTTTTACTTTTATTTTATAGCTTGCATTTTTCATACAAGACTATTTGTTAGCTCTCATATTCTGAATGGGAATTTACAATAACTAATTTGTTTAATACTTCCACTTAATAATTATGAAGCAAATTTAGTAGGCTTAGTGAATAATTGTTATTGTTGTAAATAAAGCAGAAAGGTCAAATACATTATAATTGACATTTTTCTTGGGTTTTGGAAAATGGAGTACTCTATAATGGAATGTCCTTGAAAAGTCAAAAGGTTTCCTTGGTCAAATGTATGAACCTTGCATTACAGAGAATACATATTGTAGTTCTTATATTATTTCACTTTAACAGTTTTTTCGTCATGTATTGCATTTTGTCAATTACTAGGATAGCAAAAAAATTTTAACTTAAGGATTTAACTCTCACAGAATTTGTGCAGTAGATGATTTTACAGGACTTCCTCTGCATGTCAAGCATGTATCCAACTGTCTTGTTGTCTTAGCCAAGCAATTGCTTCACCCTAGAATTTTACATGGAACTGAATGAATACCTGCTTTTTATGTTTTCAAAAGGCTTAGTTTATATCTGCAGATTTTTTTTTTTTCACTTTTCTCTAGTTTCAAACTAGGTAATTGTAGGAATAGATGCTTTCAGTTGCTCTGAGTACAAGAGTTCCCAGGATTCAAGTAGATTGACTGCATTTATTTGTTGGTATATTTCATAATTTTATGTTTAAGATCAGATCCTTCATTGTGTGACTAATTCTTATGGAAATATTGTTTGCAAATTGCATGACCAGCAACAGGACTTCATTTATTCATTACCTACAAAACAGTTTGTTTTGCCAAAATCACTTATAAACATGTGCATTACTTTTGAAGACTTGCATTCACATTATGACTACATAAACTGTATATATATTTTTTACAAAAATTGCTTTAAAATCTGCAAAAAAGCTTTATTGATTTGTCTTTGAAGTTACCACAGATATAGATAGTTTTGGAGCCATTTAAACTTCAGTATTGTAAATGATTTTGAATCTGTAGTTATGTTAATTTCTCAGTATTTGTGAAATATAGTTAGAACGAAATGTTTTATTATTATTGAAAAACTTGTGCAGTAGTTTCGCAATGTACACCAAAGTATGATTATTCATATTAATTTTTGAGTGAAAAAATATTTTTTCTCTTATGTAACTGTTGTGTAAATAATTTTATAATTGTGTTTTAGAAGTTTTAACTAATAAGTATTATTGTTTTTGCTTACTTGATAAATGTAATTCTTTAAAAATGAGGCTGGAAACTAAGAAAGAACATTTTAAATCTAATATTCAAGAGAATTTCTGGAGCTAAAGTTTTGAATTAATAAATATTTAGTATTTCATTATTCTCAGAAAAATTACTATACAGGGTAGGCTTTGTTTTCTGTTTGTGTCATTACTAGAAGTAGGCTTAATATGGAGTTATAACTGTTGTACTAGAATGTAGTTTTATTATCCGTACCCAAAAGAAAATTTTATCCAAAATTGTATTAGATTTAGTAAGTTTTGCAATAACGAGTATAAATTATTTGGACTGGTGTAATCTGCAACAAATTGCTTTTATTTCTTCTGACAGGTTTTTATTAATAGTAAAATAATTTAAAAAGCCTATTATTTGATAGTGTATTCTGATTAAGAAGTTAGCACACAGGATCACATACAAAAGTTGTAATGATTTTCAAATGAGACCCAAAACTTGAGCAGTTTTCAATAGTTCACTATTCTTCTTCAGGAGAATAAAGAAGAATAGTGAACTATTCGAAAGCACTTGAGTATTGGGTCTTGTTTGAAAACCATTTGATTGTGTGTATAATATTGTAATTTTTTTACTCTTTGTGCATATATTCAGTCAGTTTCAAACTGTACGATATAAAGATAAAACCACTACACTTGGTTTATGGTTGTGCCTTCAAGCAAAAATTGCATTGTTTTGTGTTTTTCAGGTTGACTTGGGTTGTCGATACCTTGCTGCAAAATGTCATGTATGTATTTGCACTTCAGTATATTCTCTAACTTCACTTTTTTTGTAATAAGTGTTCTCTGTAAATGCAGTATAGGTCTGCTTGCATTTGCCTTTTGTTACCTAATTACGTAGTACTTACTTGTGGCTCATACATAGTAATTATGTACACACTATATGTATATCATCCTATTGCCCAGATTTTTTTATCTTTTCAGTGTAACTCACAAAAACATGGATTCATTTAACCCTATCATGACGGGTCACTTGTCAAAGGCCATGTCATCGTGTTTGTTGATATGCATTCAAAATTTTATTGAACTACTATTTTATGAATGGTATCAGATTGTAGATTATATTTTGAATTTTTGTATTATACATTAGTTAATTTCATAATTTAAAAGTAAATATTAAAAAACACAATTAAACATCAATGCTTGTGTGCCACGTGGTATGTTGAATGCGGCACTGGTTCAAATTAGATGTTTGTGATGTCAAAGTACAAAGTCTGTAGTTTCGTACAAATTAGGAACTCAAACTACTGATATTGACATGCTAGAATATAAAATAATAACCTCTTATCTTTTCTATTTGCTGAGATATTGCTCATGTACTGAATCAAACACAGTGGATCCCACCCACATCTTTCCATTTTTGGAAATGCTCCCTTATATGCACTTACTTCTATATATGACATGAATAACCAATTGAAAGCTGAAAATGTCCCTCTAGTTGCTTTCAGGTGTTAGGATACCATCTCGTTCTTTTGAAACAAGATTTCAAGGAGGTATTTTGTGTCTTTAGTCTGCTTGAAATTGCATATTTATTTTAGACCAAAATACAGCTTAGTTACTAAACTTATAGTGGAATTTTATGGTATTAATATAATAACTTATGATTTTATTTGGTTATTTATAATATATATATATAAAACCTAAACAAAAATTTCTTTTCACATCCTCCACGTAGGAAATTTGATAAGGCTTAGCAAACTACGACAAGCAGCAACTGAGTACAGAGGTCATAACTAGAAGAGATAATTGTTTGCTTTACTTCTTTATTTACTGTTCAATGTTTTAAGAATAATAAGTTTAATAACTTATTTCAAAATAGCAATAATCTATATGCAAATATAATGTATAATAATTGAAATGTGACTGTATTTTACAAAATATTAGTCCACAGCCAAGACAATTTACTTTGTAAAGGTCAATCTTATATTGTTGGATACAGTATCATGAGTGCATATGTGCCATGTCATTTTAACTTTTGTATTGACAGACCCCATAGAGTTACGGTAGAGAAAACAATAGAAAAAAATATATAGTTTTACTGAAAATAAACGTTTGAGGTGTATTTAAAAGATTTTAGAGATTTTTGGAATGAACAATAGTGTTTTAGTTATAACATGAAAATAACTTCGCACTTGCACTGATAATGAAACAGACTCGCTATTTTCACAAACAAATTTATAATAAAAATACTTCGTTAAAAAATAGCCTAAAACTGAGTTAAATTGTAATTTAGATTTAGTAGTTAAGTAAATGCTGATATATATCCAATTTATGATGTTTGCCAACAAGATTGATACACACAGTTTTCTTTTTTAATACAAATATATTTTAATACACAAACAATAATACAATTTACAATAACAGTTATTACAAACAATGTTTTATATACAAACTTTTACAAGCAATATAAAGTCTTTTTCTAGTCTGGAACTTCCTTGATGTCTTATCGAGGGTTCACGATGAGGGAGTTAATTTCGAGTTGATATAGAAAAAATTCACTTTATAGGGAGCTCTGTAGTTCTCACTGATCACATGCCGATTACAGTTCGAGTTTCTTTTACTGCTGCAGTTATATAATATCTTTGTAAAAGTACTGATGCCCTATGTGAATCCACTGAAGTTTAGTGATTTGTAATGTTCAAAATTTCTAAAAGTTTGTGATCGATATATCTGAAGTTCCTGATTAATAAACATTAATCACAATTATAGCTTTCGAGGTTTATTGGTTATATTTATAGGCATGTGGAGAGTTTCTCAAATTCAAATTACGTAACAATGATTTTAAAGTTTTTGTTGGTTAGCATAAAATATTGTTGTAGCATGTTTTTTTGTTGGGTGTGCTATTTTGAGTTATTTGGTGAAAATAATGAGAAGTCCAGCCACTTAATGATGCTGAATTAGTTTATTTCTTCAATAATGTTTGCTACAGACTATGTTTACTTCAATGCAAGTGGTAGGCCTAAGTTCATAAACAAACTTTTCAACTTAAACTCTAAAATTACTCTAGGCCTAATATACTAATAATGTTAACAGGACTTTTCTTGATTGATAACAAGCGCTAACTCTTACTGGATACTTCACTAACTTCTTATCCAACATTTCATTGATTACCTGTCAAAGTTACTAGGTTCTTGAGGTTCTTATTGCAGATTTTCTAAGTATTCTAGGACTACTTACATAAACTTACTTGATCTTATCTTCATGTGCCCTTTAGCTAAAGTCCAAATTAAAACTTTGAAAATGTAGCTTATAACAATATTTTCCCAAGAACATGTAGTATTATTTCAGTTTTCTATTGAAAATCTAACTAGCTTACAGTGAAGGGCTCTGGACATATTTGAATAAATCTTCATTATTCTTTTGATAAAACAGAACTATATTTTTTCCGTGTTTTGAAATTCAACTTCTTCAGCAGTTTACAAAAATTCTGTACTATAATTCACAATGTATCTTAACTTATGCATACAACTGATTGTCTGACTGAGGTTTAGACCATCATTTGTAAGGTATCTTTTAAGTCTTAGTTAGATATAATGCAGCTATGTTTTTTTCAGAAGTAGAAGTGTGAAACATAAAGATTGAAAATCATGTAGAGGCCTGTTGTTCCTAAGTTGTGTAGTTACACATCTTCCATTTTTATGAATTTTATATTAATAGTATTGGACAAAATTTCATCCCTAGTGTCTTGTAAGCTTACATTGATTATCTATAGTTTCATTTTGAGTTTATTTACTGATTATAAATATTATTTTTACAAGTTACAATTTTTACAGTAATGAAGAATATTTTTTAGAACAGGTATGATGTTTCAATCACAAGTTTTAATATTAAAGAAGGTTTTAGTATTTAAATCAACATTCAGTAATCTAACATTGTATTTAAACTTTAGAATTGATAGTGGTTAATTATGCACATGCATATCAATCCATGTTAATTGACATATTTATTTGTGACTAAACAGAAAAAACAAACAAAATGGGAATAAATAAGTGTGAAATATGTTATGTAAAACATTTGCATAAGATTAGGAATGTCTGGGAAAATAATGATCAAAGACATATAGATGTGCCTAGATATTTATCACGGTTCATACTGGTGCTTCAAAAACTTGAAAAGTCTTTGAAAACAGAAATATATATGAGATAGTGCAAGTAAAATGTAAAAAATAATGAGAAATTTGGAAAAGACTATCACATAAATATAACCTTAATATAATGCCTAGGTTAATTTTCACCGCTAGAATGAAAATTGGACACATGTTAAGAAAATTATATAACAATCCCACCCCACAGGAAACATTTACAAAATAAAGTGTAATGATTGCCCAGCCTTTTGCATAGATGAAATAGGGTGTAACTTGAAGATCAGGTTAAAAGAACACCAATAACCCTCTTCCCAAGGCCATGAGCATGTATACAAAAACAAACATAGTTCTTCTGAACAGTGTCACATTACTAAAACACAAACCTGAAATTAACAGAATAAAAGTCAGAGAAACCTTATTTATAAAATTAAACAATCCCACAATTGACAAATACCCAGGCACATATCTTTTTCTTTCTTTGATTGTTATTTCCCTAGATATCCCTAATCTTATGCAAATAGTTTGCATAACATATTCCACATTTTTATATTTACTCACATTTTGTTTGTTTTTTTGTGTTCAACCATAAATAAATAATCTGTAAATTCACATGGATTGATATAAATATGCATAAGTTACCAATATAAATTCTAAAATGTAAATACATTGTTAGATTGTTAAATGTTGATTTAACTTTTTCAGCATGGACTCGGTCCTCAGGACTGACCTCGTAACCATTTTGTGCTTGTTATAGTTTTCATGCTATAATATTTAAATTAGTAAGTGAATGTTAACGAAATTTGGCAGATTATCAATAAACATTACAATGCTTTCCTACACAAAATATAAATTTATTTTTATTAAGTCTTAAGGTTTATAAAGCAATGTTTTTCTCATATCTATTTTTCTTTTCGCATGTTGCCTATCTATCATGCAAAGTAATATTCATCTTAAGATTAAAAATACTTTTATGCATTAGAAAATTTTGTAAATTTTACATGACAAATCTTTATAATGTCAAGATAGTTATACAAATGTTTAACTTTAAAAAAACTATTATTTTATCTATTATTT